CCCTAAACCAATTTGGGTTACACAAGGTTACACATGGTTACACAAGCCACACCAGCTGCAGTAGTAGCACAACAACCCCTGCTTGCACCTATCCTTGTCAAACTCTTAATTCTATAATATTAAAAATCTTTAAAACCCTATTACAAAAAATTTTACTAAGTTAACCAAAGTTTAGTTCTTAAGCAAACTTATTACCGAAATGCCTACCTTAACAAATGTAAGCCCAGATATTATCAATCTCAATTACTTTCACAAAAATTATCCAAACAGCTATGGAATCAGAATCTTCGAGGATATAGCTAATGTATCTTGTCTAATTCCTACTAACAAATGACCTATCAACTGTATCTCTACTGAACTCAAAGAAAAAACCAAAACTATATATTTCTTCTAAGCTCCACTTATATCATTCACTGTTACCTGTATCTGTAGTAAATAATACACTCAATTTATCTTTCAAAACAACCAAGTTTATAAAAAAGAAACAAACATAATTACTGTTAAGAATACTAGAAAACTCAGAAATATCGCAGCCGAAATTGAACAGGCTACTCATTTATTCCACCCTCTCTAACTGCATCTCCAACATCCAATATACATCACCATGAATGTGCTAAATGTAAACAACCTATCAGCTGCAAAGCAACTAATAACCTACACTACTTAGCAACAGATGCTATACTGTTTAATGACAAACCTTACTACAAATCATGTACTGAGACTAAATCAACCTCACAACAAACTTCTTCCTCTTATGATACACAACAAGGTTCTTCTACTAGTAAGGATACATTTATCCAAAAATTACAACAATCATTACATAAATATAGACCTAATAACCCTCTGTCTTCTGGACTTGGACCTCTTACCTTAACCAAACAAAAACATAATACTAATAACAATATAGAGATTGATAACAATTCTACATTTGATAATACAAATACTACACAAAAACAACAAAACATTAATATCAATACACAACAACAACAACCTTATTCACAACAACCAGAACAACAATTAGAAAAAACTACAAAAACTTAACAAAATACCAATACCTTCACTAACCTCAACCAACAAAATACCAGCACTCCTAATAATCCACCTCACAATATCAGAAACAATTGACTGGCTTGCTAACTTTCCAGTATCTGAAGAAATAGAACAATATACACAATTACAAACTGAAATCACCAGAAAAATATTTAATCACCTTAAGACACATCTGTTCAATTTCTACCTAGCTAAAGAAATCTGTGCAGCAACCTCCACCTGAAAGCTCTTAAAGCTAGTTTCTATTATATTATCCGTAAGATGGCTGGAGAACAACAATTTCTCATAGAATTTATTCAACAACAAAATCTTAATACTGACAAAGCCCTTACAATTCCATTTAATATTTTAGAAGAAACTTTCAAAAAACTTACTCTCACTTTTACTACAGTCCTTTTTATCAAATTAAATTATCCAAAAATCTTTTCATTCTCTGCAACAATATCTTCTTATAAGAACCAAAACAGATTACAATTCTGTATTAACCTAGCTTGCCTACACCTATATCTATCAAACAACTATCAATCAATTAACTACATTAAATTCGCTGAGAATTTTAAATTTAGACCAAAAAGATTTAGAATATCATCTGTTATAACCAGTTATGACAAAGACAAAAAATACCTTCAGATTAAATTTGATACTAAATTTAACATCTATCTTGAATTTAATATTCCCAAAAACCTCTTTAAAGAAAAATACAATATTTTATCCTTAAAAAACTCACTTGAACATTTCAATAACTGGTTTGAACACTTCTTTCCACAATACAGTCACTAATTCAAATGGCCCATTGACAAAACCAAGGTCTATAACTCACTGTGATATCAATTCTGCCAATGCTTTATTCAACATCTTAAAGAACTTCTACCCATAACTTTGGATTTTCATAAACCTAACAACTCTATTCAATACTGTAATAAAACTATCAAATATGCAAACCACCACATCCTTACATGTAAAGACACTTTCTGTCCTTTTGCTAAGACTATCAACAACAAGAATAAGGCTAAAGAAACAGATAGTGAGAATCAAAACCCTCCAAAACCTTAATATAGACACAATTATAACCAATTACAAAATTAGGATGAGTGCCACCGGTGCCCTTATTTGTTGCTATTAGTTTTAAATCATATTTAAGATATATTACAATGTAATAACTGAATATTTCATTTGAGAAGTGTTGTGATTTATATGAAAAAATCAAATTGTATATTAGTACTTATTTTTAGTATATGAAAAGTTTGCTATGTGTTTCAATTTTAATATTATGGATAATTAGTTGAGCAAAGTATAAGAAAAGATCAGAAGATAATTAATGTGACAGATCATAATGAAATCCAGATCAAAATGAAATAATATTATAAAATCTAGAAAAATAAAAATTTTTGGGGCGCATTTTTTAGGGCTAGGGGTTAGGGTTAGGGGTTAGTTATAAAGTAAAGTTATAATAAACAAGTATTTGTGGGTTTTAGAAGGTCAACAGGTTGAGTAGAAAATGTTGATTTCATTTTAAATTATGATTTGTGACAATTAATGTTGTTATATATATTATAGAGTGTTGTAGTTATTAAAAGTTAAAGGTAATACATATATATAGTTATTTGTAATGTTGTGATTTATGTAATTTTATTCATAGCTATTAAGAGCTGTGATAGTACTGCGCAGTATTAAAAAGCAATATAATGTATATTAGATGGATAAAAATAGTTTTAATAGGGATTTTTTGAAAGAGTAAGAGCTTAAAAGATTGTGTTTGTAATTATAAATGGTTAAATAAGTAAAATTTAATGATATTGCTTAGTAATTCCTATTTAATGTGATATTCAAATTTTTGTTTTATATTACAACTGTTATACATAGTTTAATTGTGAATAATAAAGAAATTGGTAATTTATTCTTGATTTATAGTTAAATAAGTAAATTTGCAAATGGTTTGTTTAATAAGTAAATAATTGTTTATTTATTCAAGTAGATTTTGCAATTTAATTTTTGATTTTTAATGTATTTATTATTTTAATAATTGATCAAGTTGATTATTATTGAATTAGTTCTTTGTAAACTACATTGATTGTTTTAGTTTCTTTATCATTTTCTGGTAAGAGTATTAAAGCGTAGTTTCTATTTTTTACACAAGATATAGCCATATAGAGCTGTCCTTGTGTGAATACATGAGTTCTAAGATCTATAACAACACAATCTAGTGTAAGACCTTGACAACTGTTAAAAGTTGTAGAATATGCTAGGCATAATAGAAATTGTTTTTAATATACTACCATGAACAGTAATTTGGTTGAAAGTAAAAATTTATTCTGAGTATGAGGTGAGTTTTCGACGTATCATTTGGGTTGTTGTTTTTCAGTATTGCTGCTTCAATTAGTCATTGTCCTAGGTTTGTTATCAGAACTCATATATTTTTTACTAATCTTTTACTGATTGAAATGTTTCGCATTAAAAGCATATTGCTCTGGTTTTTAGATATATTTCGTGATTTGGTATTTCTGGATGGGTTAGCTAGATTAAATAATCAGGTGTGACAGTAGGGTGATCATTTATGATTTCGTCATTTTCTTTAACAATGTCATGACTGAAGTATGTGCGAGTTGTTTCAGATAATTTATGAAGGATTTGATGGTTGAAATTATCAACTAATATATTGCAGAGACTGAGAAAAGCTCTTTTTTGTAAGGTTTTATTATCTGAAAGTATGTTTTCAGAGTATAAGAATGAAATGGCTTTTTTGATATTTTGTGTTATTTTAAAGATATTTAGAAAAATTTCATAGTTTTCATGGTTTTCTCCAATATCGTCAATGAATTTTGCAAAATCTGAATCTTTTGCATTGCGTATTAATTAATTAAGAGTATATATATTAAAATGTTTCCATAGGTGTGAGGTCTTAATTGAAGCATCAATTGTTGAACTTTTTCTTGCATTTTTGACTACTGGAGCTACTTGGCAAAGTCACCAATGCCTATAAAGGGCTTTCCTCCAAATGGTTCATTTTTTTTACAAATTTGGCAGAGAAGAAAATCAACACTATCTAATACTGCTTTATTTGCTATAGGAAGTTCTCCTATATAATTAGTTTTGCTGCACAGATTAAATTTGCACGATTACTTCTGAATTTAATTATTGATTGAATATTAGCATTGTTGTCTTCTACAGGTATACGAAATAATGAATGAGCTATGTGTCTACCTTCATAGAGCAAAGCTGCTAAAGCTGTAGTTCCACACAATAAGATAATTTCTTTTGCAGCTCGAATGGCATAACTAATAGCATTAATTAAAAATGTTTTTCTCCAACAGCCTTTCTATTTAGAAATTTAGGAAATTTGTTTGTTGAAATAGAAATATTTTCTTCTTTGCAGAGTACATATTTTATAACTTCATGTAAAAGGTAGTTTGTTCAAGTGTTAAATTAGAATATGATAGTTTGGCAAGTTGATCATATTTAATATAGTCAGAGTAACGTTGGTGTTCTGCAATAACTTCTCGAGTCTATATTTTAGGTTCTGGAAGTTCAAAGTCACACATATATCATCCATTTTCTGCAAGCATTGAAGCTATTTCTTGAAAAGCTGCATCAATCATTAAAGCATAATTATTATATAGTTGGTTTGGATCAGCAGAAAAATTTTCTCTATGCCATTTCTATAGTTCAAGAGCTGGAGCACCGTCTAATATAAGTTGTACGAATAAAAATCATAATTGTGCAGGTGTGTGATAATTATCAATAGCTTCATTCATAGTGAGAATACTTTCATTTTCATTTATAAATAGTTCTATTTCACATGTGGCTTCTTGATAAGTATTATATTTATTTCTGGTGACTATTTTGAGGTCATTCCATGTTCAAACTGCACGATGTATTAAAATTGTTTGAAGATAAAATATTTCACCGGTTTCTGAAGCAACTAAGACAATCCTTGTAATTTTTGCAGCAGTTTACTTTCGAATGATTTTTCTTAGTGCTTCAGGATGTACTTGTTTAATAAAGTCATTTTCACATATTTCATTGTGGTTATAAGGATATAAGTTATAATGTTCATAGTATTCTGTGTATTTTAGATTATCAAAAGGGGGTTCAAGAGGTCTAAGGAAGTAACGGTTCAGGAGTGAAACTGAAGATGGGGTGTTTCGAGTGTGTAAATATTGAGGGATGTTGTCGTTTAAAAGGTGTATTGAAAGAATTAGAACTGACAGGTCTGATGTTGTTATTGAATAATGAAATATCCTCCATGCAGCTTCAGGTGCTGATAAATATCTTTCATTAATATAATCTTTAAACTCATTAATAGACTGTTTGGTATTAATATTTGTTGATTTATTATTGTATTGATCATTAGACTTTTCAGGCTCAGTAGTAAATTTATTATTAATAGTATATTTTATATAATTAGGACCTTTAAAAATATATTTATATAGATATATGAATAAGTGAACAGTTGAAGCAATTTTAAAGTTAACATGATATTCCAGTTTCAAAATTAGTATGAGATTATATGGTACGATCCACATATCTTCTTGTGTTTGATGACAATATTGTATATAGCCTTTTTCATCAACATATGTCTCTAGAATTAAAGGTTTTAGGTATCTGTAAATGCATTTATTGTTACAAAGGCAGTGAGGTGAATGTTGTTGTCTGTGTATCATAATTTTTTTAACTAATTGTTTTAAATGGGATTGTTCATGAGGTAATTCTGCAGATACAATTTTGTTAATTTGATTAATAGAGAGTTCTGGTTGTACTCGAATTACGATTTGAGCATGGGAAAAGCCATGTTTTTGAAATTCAATTATATCAATCATATAAATAATTGTCTGAAATATGTGCGTAATAAGTCTTATAATTTTTTAAGGTGTGAATGAAATGCATGTATAACAATTGGAGTGATTTCTAATATATTTTGTTTAGATCGCAATTGTGAATGAATTTCTGGCCAATTAGGGTTAGTAGTTATAGCTATAAAAAAGCTCAGTTTTATTTTATAACAAACGAAAGCCAAGGCATTTGCTACATAAGATAAACACCATCTTTTAGATCCCAAAAAAGAAGTAGGTAGATGTAGATCTCCATTTTTATTTTCTCTATTTTCATTTTCAAAGTCTTCTTCAACAGTTAGATTATTTTGATTTTGTATTTTTTTTTCTTATAAAGATATATTTTTTTTCTTTCAATATATAGTTTATGCACTCTTCCTCAATGCGTAAGTACATGTCACCCAGATATTCAGAAGTTAGTCTTCCAAATATTAGAAATCATTGTTCGTGTAATTGTATCAGTCAATTTAGGATAAATTATAATTATTTTTAGGATGCCATCCTGGTGTGCCATGAGGAAAAAGTAATGGGTATTGTAGGGGTTCATATTGTGAGCTGAGGATATTTATAAATTTGAGCATAATATCTGTATGGCGCCAGATGATAATGTTGCGTGGATGTACACTTGCAGTGTTATTATCATGTATGATAGTAGTGACTTTGCCAGTAAAGGTATTTTCGCATAATTCAAATAATCCATCAAATGAATTATTTTGAAAAATTCATAGTGAATGCATGTAGGGATTGATTTGAGTTAGCATAGAATGTATGGTTGAAATCTATTCATCTGATATTTTATAGTTGTGAGCTGTAATATGTCATTCTTGTTCATCATAAATGTACCAATATATTGGATAATTGGGACTATCTATAGGCAAAATATGATGGTAAGTGTGACCGGTAATACAAACTGAAGATGGGACAGGGAGATTTACAAATTGGCCTTGTATACCAATTGCTGTGAAGGAAAAGAATGTATTGAGTTTTCGTAAAAGGCTGCTGCTGGCTGGATCATTAAGTATATTGTTGATATTTGCAGGATAAGGTAGTAGTGAAGGTATAATACACTTTTCATGATTACAGCAAAATTCAGCTAGTTCCCCTATATGAAGTATTGCTGAACAATGAGCACATTTCTGATTCTATGAAAAGGTGAGTGGTGTTAAAATGTTTTATTTAAATTATCTTGTATATTCTACCAGAATTTATTTTCTGATGTATCGTGTTTTTCGAAATAATGTGTGTTATTATTTCTATATTCACATGGGGTTTTTGTTTGTAGCTGAGAGTTTTTTATTTGTAATTCATCATTATCTTGGTTAACATTTGTGATGGTCTTTTATTTTTTTGCTATTAAATCTTTCTTCTATTCAAATGCAACTTATTTTCTTAAGCAACATTTATGTTTGTAATCTGTGATCTATTCTTTGTTACGAAGTTTTTGTTTTGGCATTTTTTGATTCTGAAAAATTGTGTTTTTATTAATGATTAATAGTTTAACTGTAGTTTTTTGTATTTTATATGCATATAAATAGTGATACAAAAAATAATTAATTTATCTAGTCATATAGATGTAAATGTCATAATAATGACAATATATATCGTTTAGTTTAAATGTGATTATAATATAATTCTGACAATTTTTTTTTTTATTTGAGTTTATATATTTTAATAACATATTGTCAAATTAAACCTGTAATTCAATTATATAAATTTTTGAGTTCAATTCTTGTTTTTATTTTGTGGCATATATAATATTCAAGATTGGGTTGCATAATTTTTTTTCTTTAACATTTTTAAATTGATTATTTATTTTTTAATAATAAAAGTAAAATTATATGATGCCTTGCTACGCAAATACAATTGTAAGAGCTAAGTTTGCAAAACAATCTGAAAATGAAAATGCTAATCTTATAAGAGTGTAGGCTATTGGTGATACCCTGCAGGGCATGAAGATTATAATATGAAATGATTTTATTTGTTCTAATTAATTTAAATGAAAGAGATCCGGAAACTCAAGCTATCTTTGAAAAAGATAATTTTTATGCTGTTGAGGTAAAATTGTGCCTGGTTATTACAAAAAAAATAAAAAAGCAAAGGTATTTATTGAACATTTTGATTAAAATTTTATAATTATTAAATTTTTTCTAAATTTCAGATGACGGTTTCAACTTCTACTCATTTGACTATTCTCAATAATGTTACTACATCAAACAAATGTCTATTAAAAGTATCCTTAATTGAAATTCCTCAGGAGATGCCACAAGAAGTTAAAAACAATGAAAATGCTGTTATTTTAATGTTAATAAGCGACTACATTGGCAAGGAATACAATTTTATTGTGAAAATCATTTATCCATATCTCAATTCACGGTTTGCTTATTTAAAAAATACTATTCAGCCTCAAGAATTATTGATTTTTGTAGTTTGGCAAATAGAAATTTTTGATAATGAATTTTACATATATGCTACAGATGTTAGTTTATCAATACATGTTTTGAGAATAAGAAAAAAATTATTGATAATACTATTTCTCAAACTACCTCATCACCTGAAAATTCTGTTCATTCAAAACCTTTTGCCACTTATAGAAATATTTCAGAAAACATTAAGAAAAAAGAAGATCCGAAGAAACTTTAAAAAATGCTTGAAAAAAGGAAGAAAAGATGCAAGCAGATTTTCAAAAA